AAAATGAACTATGCCTGAATTACATTATGTACATGTATTATAGATGGGTGTGTAAATAAGTGGATGTACATTTCAGATAACATTTCTTTATAGAATCTCAGTTAAGATGAAGCCTCATCACCCCCTAAGGGAGGTGTGTTAGTTTTGACTGCTGTCTAATAAATTCAGCATCTTCAGACACCACCTATGTAGTACCACACAGTCCTGGAGGTCAGACGTGTGGGTAGGCTGGACTGGTTTCTCTGCTCTCAGGATCACAAGGCCAAAATCGAGGTATTATTTATTCTGGTCTCCGATCTGAAGTTCTGGGGAAGAATGCACTTCCAACTCATTCAAGTTGTTGTGTCATCATTCCGTTTCCTGTGGCTGTAGAAATGAAGTCCCATCTCTTTGCTGGCTGTTGGCTAGAGGTCATTCTCAGCTAATAGAAGTTGCTGTAAGGTTCTTTTATGTGACCCCCTAGTCTTCAAAGCCAACCGCAGAGCATCAAATCTCAGGCTTCCAGTCTCTCTCATTTTCCCTTCTGACAGGAGCAGGAGAAAAGTTGCTTTGAAGTGATTAGATACACGTAATTAGATTACCCCACCAGGTAAAATCTCTTTTGTCATATAATGTAATACAATCATGGGAGGGATATATCGTCATATTTACAGATTTCACCCACACTCAAAGAGAGCTTCACAATGTGAGAATCATTGGGGGGATTTGAGAATTCTGCCTCACACAGGAGTGAAGAAAATAATTTTATTGGTTTAAAATCTAGTGTTTCTGAACACTGCATTCAGTAATTTCCACTGTTGTTGTAGCTTTGGTACTTAAGACGACCAGGGGTACTCAGACGTCATGTAAAATTGGTACCTACCTTCAACAAAGAAGGCTGTATTCGCTATGCTGTTTTTCTCTCCTCCTTAACTTAAGAATATTATTTATTGAATAGATGCTATTCATAAAGTACAGTGATGGATACAGAGATAATGTGAACATTGCACAGTAACCTGTGGAACAGCAGATAAATTGTAATAACACTATATTGAATTCAAGAGAGGGCAAGAGTTCATTCTGCTTGGGACATTAGGGACACCTTCACATTTCAACCAAATTTAACATCCATCCTTTGTCTTTGGTCTGTCTCCCTCACTTCTGTTCTTACACTTTTTTTCATACATTTAGCAAACATTTATACAGCACTTACTGCCAAGTACTGTTCATGGCCCTGTATATATATGAACTTACTTAACCTCACAGCACCTCTGTGAAGGAGCTGTACTCTTGGTATCTAATTTCATAGGTGAAAATGCCCGGGCACAAAAGTTAGGTGACTTGTGCAAGTTTGCACAACAGGTAAGCAGCAGGGTTTGAACCCAGTCATGCTGGCTCAGAGTCCTTGTCTTTAAACCATTATGCTGTCCTGCTCCAAAGTGTAGATAGAATGCAGATTTAACCGTGTTATTTCCAGGTTCATATCGTTGTGAGCCATGTAGGGCAGTGGTTTTCATCAGACTCGGCTATTATCCTCCTTCAGCTAGACGTTTGGCAAGATCTGGAGATCCTTTTGGTTGTCACAGTGACACTAGCGTTTAGTGGGTAGAGGCCAGGGGTGCTGCTAGACATTCTAATTCTTTTCCTCCCACAACAAAGAATTGTCTGGTCCAAAATGTGGGTAGTGCTGAGGTTGGTTGTGCCCCGTGACCCCCAGGATTAAATCAGAGATTGCAAACATGGCAAGCAGGGTGTTTATCTAGCTGGCCTTTCCCTTTCCTTTCCAGTATTTTGTGTGCACAAAGTGCATGCACAGTGCTGTGTCTTGACACTGTGGCTGTGTCTATTCGCTCCTCTCTGCCGGGAATGCCTCCTCTACCCATCCTCTCACCCTCAACACTCTCCATGCATTTACTCGTCCTTTGAGTCTTAGCTCAGGCTGTGGTCACTCTTGAGGCCTTTTCCCCATAGTCCCGACAGGGTGAGGTAGCCCGCGTGATCTTCAGCTCCCTTGAACTATTGCATGTAAGACACTAAACAATTTTGAGCTCTTCCTTTGTTTCTCCCCCATGAGTCTGGGAATCCAGTGGGAGCAGGGACTGTCTGGCTCACATCTGTGTCAAAAGCACCTAGTAGAGTGTGATTTCTGACACACATAAATCCAATACATCTCAGCTGAATTAGTAAATAGAAGTGTTGTCTTCCTCTGCCAGGGCTGCCGTGACAAAACCCTGCAGGCTGAGTGGCTGAGACAACAGAACTCCGTTTCTCACAGTTCTGGAGGTAGGGAAGGAGTCCGAGACCGAGATGGCAGCAGGTCTGCTCTCCCTGAGGCATCTCTCTTTGGCTTGTGGGCGGCACCCTCCCTCTCTGTCTTCATGTGGCCTTTTCTCTGGATGTGACACTCCTGTTGTCTTCCTTATAAAGAGATAGATGCTATTACATTAGGGACCCACTCTTACAATTTCATCTAGCCTTTATTGCCTCCTTAAAAGCCCTATCTCCCAGTTCAGCCACACTAGGGGCTAGGGTTCAACATATGAATTTTCGAGGAACATAATTCAGTACATAACAAGTATCAAGTGAAAAAAATACGGAAACAGTAATTATATCTCAGTTTAGATAGGAAGATGCTTCTCAAATCCAGTCATTTGATGTAAGCTGTTATTAAAATATTAATATTTTGATTAATTCTGTTCACTTTAAAAAATAAGGATATTTATATTATAACTGTAAATAAAAAGCAAGCTTATATCCTTAAACAAATGGTATCCATACAAACGCATGCAATGAAAAAAAAGAGTCATACATACTTGTATCCAGAGAGTGCTGCCCATGGAAAGATTTGCACTTGCATTTATGCTTTCTTTGTTCTTAAAAAGATGATCAGGTGTTTGAGATATGTAAAGAGTCACTTGCACCAAAGCAATATAGCTAGAAAGAAGGAGAGACAACTGAAGAGGAATGACATTCTTACTATGTGAATCAACGTTGTTTCTTGCACATCGTCACCAAATTAGATGCATCGGAAACTTGGGCACAGGCTAGAATAGAATCTAGGCTGTGTGATGAGGAGTGGGTGGGGCGAGGAAGGAGGCTGCTCATGCCGAGCAGGCTGGGTGGCAGGAGACTGTGCCCTGACTGATAGCTGGGATTCTGTGTGTTTGCTCTTTTCTGCATCGTTTGATACTGTACAGCGAAAAGTTAAGTTGGATTCCAAGTATCCAAAAATTGTTACCAAAGGTCCCCTTTTGGTACTAAGAGAATCTGTAAACCTTTTTAAGTTTATAGTGCTAATTTGATTCCCATTCCATAAAACCAGGTTTTATTTTCGGTGGGTTCATATGCCAAGCAGTGCTTTAGAGTGATTCTGTAGTGGTCTTTGACAAGGAGTCTCAAAATCACCTGGAGAGCTTGTTCAGACAGAGTTTGCTGAGCCCTTTATTCCCATGGTTTCTGATGAGTAGACATTGGTGGGGACTGAGAATTGTTATTTCTCACAAGTTCTCAGATAATGCTGATGCTGCTTTTCTGGATACCCTACTTTGAGAAGCACTGTTCCATGGTTCGTATAAAATTCTGCCTTGCCTCCTTGGAAGAGCCATGGATGAAAAGCAACCATATATTGCTCTTCCAGATGGAGAAATTAAAGGCATACGTAGATGCAGTATTTTTTCCCAGAGCATGTTGGAAGCATTCTTGGTATTTTGAGTGCAGTTCCTATTTGGACCTTCATCCAATCACTGAAGACTGATTTACTAAGCTTCTTCATTTGCAGGGTTCTCTGCTGGGTAGTTGGTGTGCAGCAGTGTGCACAAGTGGGTTCGCAGGCTTTATACAGACTAGTGTTTACAGCAAGCCAAGTGGCTATTTTAGTCAGTGTGTGAGCTCAAGGAACTGGGAGTGAAGTTCTGTCTCAGTTCGCCAAACTCTAGCTTTGTGACCTTGAACAAATCATGTAACTTGCCTGGATTCTCAGTTTCTCCTCTCAAAAATGAGATTAGCATCACACTCAGTGACTCAAATATTTCTGGAAAGGTCTGACATTAAAAATATTTCTGGAACTTATGACGTATGATACCCTCACTTTTCCTCTTCCCCTCTAGGTGCCATAATGGTCTAAATTGAAACAGTCACTATTAGTAAAACACAATAATAATCTGTATGGCATTTAAGATTAGTTGGTTAGAATCTTATTTAATCAGAATTACCTCCTCTGCTCATGACCTGATCTATTGAAAGCTATTGGAAATACATGTCAAACAACATAGAAATCAGAAAATTACGTTGAAACTGTCTGAAACATGCTGTCCTGCAGCATGTCCACCATGAAGTCTTTTCTGTCTCTTTTATGAGGACCGACTCTACCTGTTAGCAGCTTTGCCACATCTGAGCACACGTGTGCTCTCCATTCAAAGGCAGCACAGCTATCCAAGAGACATTGGACAATTACAAAGCAAAAACAAAACTTTGGCTCTCAGATGAATCTGATAGATGTCTTTGGATATACAGATTTGGGTTTGAATTTCGCCTAAGCTACTTATGACTTTGGTGATATCAGACAAGCTACTTGGACTCCTTGCATCAAAGTTTGTCATCTATAAATGGAACTAGTGTAACTCATAGGATGTTACGACAATTGGACATAATAATGCATGTAAAACATCTAGCAATGTATATGGCATACAGTAGATGTTGAATGTTATATAAAAAATAACTTGTAATCAGAAACCTGTTTCAACCAGATTATGGGCCATCACTTTTGGACCCAGAAAGGAAAATCATACAGGGACATGAATTGCTGAACACTGCTTATTCTCTGCTGCTGCATGGCTAACCTGAGGCAGAAGGCAGAAGGAAGCGTTAGGGAAATATCTTAGTTTGGGTTCTCTTGAAAGCAGAGCCTGAGAAAAGACCACGGCTTCACCAGGAAGCAGAAGTTAGGGAGTGGGGAGAATTAGACAGAGAGGGATGAAAGATCAGTATTCAGCTGTGTTCTTTGTCACTGTCTGTTTCCCCAGAATCCTCTAAGAAGTGTGGAGAACTTCTCCCCCAAGAGACCAGCTGAGAGAAGAGCTGCCCGGAACACGAGGTGAGATTTGTCCCGGGGGCTTTTACCCCCACTTCTGGGCTGAATTTACACATGATTTGAGGGCTTTCCCATTACCTTGGGGAAGCAGCCTAATAGAAGTTGGAAAGGCCCTTTAAG